GGTGGGGGTGGGGGGGGTAGGGGGAGGTCGTGAAAACCCTGTGTTGAAAAAGGACGCGGTTTTAATCTACAGACGGAAAAAATAAATAAAAACACCACAATACGCACGCTGGTCGCTGAGTACTCAGAACACCAAACTAGTCCCAGTTATTGCATGTAGTTTAGAGTAGATGTCAAAAAGCAGCACTAGTCCTGCGCTTCTGTCTTCTTGATGACCTTATTCGGTCAGCGGTCAGCGATATGCAAACAAAATGTCACATTTTTACAATTTGAACTGCTGCAAAAACACAACACGGGACTAACATTTTTAAAAAAGAAGCTGCTTTTTGTCGGCGCACATTTTAAAACGCTCGCATCAAATCCGGCCCTGTTTGTGACTCTTAATCTTGCCTGATGTTCCGTCCGATGAGCAGAACCCCGCTCTCGGACGTCTACAGGCAGGCCACAGCCGACAGCAGCTGGCTTCACCTACTGTTGACTCCGCGGAAAGCGATGGAAACGGTGCGCTGTTGAGCGTACGCCCCAAAAAACCCCCCCACAAAAATAAAACAGTAAAAAATAAATCAGCAGCTCTGGTAGATACATACCCGTGCGTGCGTCCAAAGCGTCCGTGCGACTTTTTTGTTCCTGAAGAAAAACAGTAGACTATAATTCATGCGTTTAATCCCTCCTAATGTAAGCGTGGTGGACGCGGATCTCGACAAGCATCCTCACTCTCTCTCTCTCGCTCTCTCTCTCTGTCTCTCCACCCCTCTCTCTCCGGAGCGCACCCAGCCAGACTGGGGGAGCAGTTGGGAGAAAATTTGGTGCGGTCGGGCTCGATTAAACTACTTTATTCTCCGCCGCGAACCTCCGAGGAATGTGCGCCTTTTGTTGGCTGGTTAATCCCAGAAAAAATAAAAAATAAATACGCTTTCAAAATCTGTCTTCCGACTCGAAGAGGGCTGGAGATTCTTTAAAAGCGTAACATGGTACTCTCCCCAATCTCGCATTTCCCCCAGTTGTCCAGCTTACCCCGGTTGCCACACACAGGCAGCAGGGCTGAACTGCCGTGAAAGCGCCTATCTGTCCAATCGGATTACTCGGAAGGAATACGGCCACATCTGCCTATCGGAGAGCGACGGCCCCCACGTGGGGTGCAACGATACATGACATCATCCCGTGAATCCACAAGGCATCATCAGTCCGTCCCACCGTGTACAACAACAACAGCAGCAGCAGGCATTGATGTGCCGACGATGATATCCAAATTTAACAGAAGACAAGCACAAACCCCTCACCCGCGCTTCATTAGGGTGTGGGCCTTTTTTGCCGCCTAAATAAAGTTTTTTTATTTTTTTATTTTTTTTTAAAGGTGGGTGGAAGGGGGTGAGACCACCACCAGCGGGTCTAGGAGGGAGGTGTGAGGTGCAACAAGCAATCTTGAATTTGTATCCCCATACAAGGAAGAGGGGAGGAGGAGGAGGGGGGGGCGGATGGGAGCTTGTTAGTAAAAACATGGTTATAAAATGTGAAGCGACTTTAATGTGAAATAATCCGAAAATCATAAATATGCGGGTTAAACTCCCCCAACACCACATAAAAAAAAAAACAACAACACACCGTGAAGGACACAATAATGACCAA